CGCGCCGCCGCGCTGAGGGCGGCGGCCGGGCGGAGAATAATGCACACTGGGTAAAAACACATTTATATACGAACCTCCGAGAAAATTTTCCAACAATTCCTTCGTCCGACCACCATGCACCAGGACAGGAAACAGCCGCCCGGCCCCCAGGCCCAGCAACACGCATAGCGAGTCTGAAGCCCGCCCCCAGTCACCACTGGGCTATGTTTATGTCACTCATAGTACTCTTCCTGCTAGCCATTGGTCCACATTTAGCCTCCGGTAAAGGAACCGCCTTTCGTCACGCCCCCCCTCGTGACGTTGTATCATCCTGGCCTTCCTGCTCGCGCCTGAGTGGCGCCCCTAAAGGGCGGAATCAAACCTCCCGTGTCTGACTGGTTGGCAGAACCGCCCGTCCGTGACCGACACCACCTCCCTGACAAGTGAGTTATGCCGATTCTGGGGCCCCAGCAGAAGGCGCCATTTTGTGTCGAGGGAGGGAGGCTGGTCCTTGTGATTACCCGGGAGGGAGAAGGGGTGACAGGCGCCATTTTCCCCACAGGGGCGAGCAGGCGGCCTTGGATCTCCCGGTGGGCTTGCCGGAGCGCTGGATTCCAACGGGCTTTGCCTAGCCAGAGCCGAGCGTTGTCCTGTCGGGAGGGGAGAGTAGAGGAGTAGGGCACAACGTGAGACCTACCCGCTCCCTCGGGGCTCTCTGTGCGGGCCAAGGCCCGAGGTCCTGGGCGAGGCCTCTACTTTCCCAACAGCTGCTGTGTGCCAGAGTCTGGCCTCTGAGTCAGCCTGCGCTTCTCCGGCTGCCGGGGACATCACGGGGCAGCCAGAGGGCGAGGCTTCCGCTCCTGCTGCACCTTCGGCAGAGCTTGGCACGGGGCGGCGTGGCCTTGGACTCCACTGGGACACTGCGGATGCTTTGGTGCATTCGTGGACGTCTCAGCTCAGTGGAAGTCGACTGAAAGGGTGTCGCTGCGTTCTTTTGTACGTTTTCATTTTGTGTGTTGAGAACTAGGAAAGCCACAGGGGTGGGAAAGACATCGAGCCAAGCCTCCTGAGTCTGTTAAGAAAGGGTGCAAATTAGTTGTGGCGTGTGTGGAAATACTTCTTGTAACTCTCATCCCAACCCTAACCCTAAATCACTGAAAATACCAGCCATTCAAGGAGGTGTTTATTCACTGGCTTTGGCGACCAGGCCGCTAAGGAGGAAATACAGCGTGTAGATAGACTCAGTGTGTCAAAAGTTTGCAGTGTGTCAAAAGTTTGCTTGCTGTAACAGATTTGGGTCCT